AATTGGTTCAATGCGCCTCATGCCCTGCCTGAGTTGAAAACAAGGGTGATGGCTCCACCTTCTAGTTTCAGCTTTCAGTGTATTACAAAGTGTCCTTCAGGCTGGGCGCTGGTGTCTCAACCTTGTGATCCCAGCACTTATTGGGACGCTGAAAAGGCTGGTGGATCACCTAGAGATTGGGAGTTGAAGACCAGCCTGACCACATGGAGAAACCTCATCTTACTTACAAATACAAATTAGCCAGCCCGGCGTGGTGGCGGGCACCTGTAATCCCAGTACTTGGCAAGGCGGAGGCAGGAAGATCGCTTTGAACCTGGGTGGTGGAGGTTGCGTGAGCCGAGATTCTCACATCTGCACTCCAGCCTGGCAACGAGCAGTGGAAACTCTGTCTCAAACCAACCAACCAACCAAACAAACAAACAAACAACATCACATGAAAACAAAACAAAAAATAAACAAGTGTCCTTCTTGCGATCTATTTAATCTCATGTTTTTCCCACTTTTGTATTTTTTGTTGGTAGTGTCACTGTTTAAATGACCCCCAAGCGTAATCCTAAATGCAAGGGGTTATGGCGCACCTTATGGGGAAAATGTGTGTATTAGAGAAGCTTCATTCAGGCATGCGTTCAGCCCTGTTGGTCTTGAGTTCCGTGCTAATGAATCAGCATTATGTATTAAATAAAACATCTTTAAACAGAAACACATATAAAAGAAGGTTACTTGCATCACCTTCAGCCCGCTAGTCTGCTGTGGTTGCCTCTTTAAAAAAACTATTTCCATAGGTTATTGGGAAAACAGGTGGTATTTGGTTACATGAGTAAGTTCCTTAGTGGTGATTTGTGAGATCTGGGTGCACCCATCACCTGAGCAGTATATGTACTGAACCCAATTTGTAATCTTTTATCCCTCCCTGTCTTCAAGGCTGGAGGTTTTTAAATAGTTTACATATCCCGGGTGCTGATTAGGCTTTTGATATTGTTATCATTTGTTCCAGGCTTGTCCAATAATGGGTCTAAGTTTGGAAATCGTGGGTCTAGGTTTGATCTGGATTTGCAAAAGCCAACCCAGTAAATTATGGAAAATGCAACCAGCTGCCTTGTAGGGCACACCAAACAGGGAATCTCTGGGTGATGGCAGATTGCCCGCCTGTTCAGAAACATTACTCAGTGATGTGAAGATCTAAGGTATTTGAAAATCTGTACAGGTATCATGTTTTCTTATCTGACTGTGAACGTTCTACGTTTCTCTTTCCCAAACACTGTCGAACTGGAATCATCACCAGAGGAAACACGGCAACGCGACCTGGCTGCATCATGCTATGGGACTTCTGTTCTTCAAAATTCTGCTTTTCTGAGTTTGTTGAGTTTTTTAAGCAATTTAGCGCCCACCACTAAACCGCGGCGTATGAAACTACTGTTAGCACGAGTCCCGTAAAAAATCTGATTTTTACATTGTACATCCTGAACAAACATTTTCAATTTGAACACTTGTTTTCTGATTCCTACCCAATTGCCTTCAGCAGGCGGGTTCTGCCTCCTGGAACTCTTTGTTGATTGTTGTTGTTGTTGTTGGTTGTGAGGACAGACGTCTCAACTCTGTTGCCCCGCTAGTGGCAGTGGCACGATCTTGGCATCCTGCAAACTCCCGTCTCCTGGATTCAAGGAATTCTCCTGCCTCAGCCTCTCCGAGTAGCTGGATTACAGGCACCCGCCACCACACCTGGCTAATTTTTAATATTTTTAAGACTGGGTTTCACCAATGTTGGCCAGTGCTGGTCTCCGAACCCCTGACCCTCAGGGATCCACCTGCCTGCAGCTCCCAAAGTGCGGGATTACCGGCGTGGCCACTGTGCCCAGGCATATAGTCACTGTTTTCTTGGCCATTCATGACAACATGTAACAGCAGGGGAAGAACTGGAATTGTTCAAGTGCCCTTCATGCCCTGGCTGAGGTTGAACAAGGCGTATGCTCCACCTTCTAGTTTTCCACTTTCGTGTATAGCAAGTGTCCTGTCAGGCTGGGCGGCGTGGCTCACACCTGTGATCCCAGCCTTTGGACGCTGAGGCGGTGGGATCCCCTGAGATCGGCGAGTTCAACCGCCTGACCAAACATGGGAGAAACCTCATCTTTGTACACAAAATACAAATTAGCCGGGCGTGGTGGCGTGCACCTGAAATCCTCAGCTACTTGGAAGCGGAGGCAGGAGAATCGCTTGAACTGGGAGGCGGAGGTTGCAGTGAGCCGAGATGCTCACCATTGCATCCAGCCTGGGCAACGATGAGTGAACTCTGTCCTCAAAACCAAATCAACCAACCAACAAACAAAACAAACACAACACACGAAACGAAAAACAAAAAAATAAAAAGTGGACCTTCTTTGCGATCTATTTAATCTCATGTTTTTCCCACTTTTGTAATTTTTTGTTGGTAGGTCACTGTTTAAATGACCCCCAAGCCGTAATCCTACCATGAACAGGGGGTCTCATGCGCCGCTTACTCGGCACTCTCTCCTTCGAGAAGCTTCCATTCGGCATCGCTTCAGCACGCTCGTATTGAGTCCGCTGCGCCACCTGTCAGCACTTATGTATTCAACAAACATCTTAAACAAAACACATATAAAAGAGTTACTTATTAGTCCATTAACAAAACGTTGTGACCAGAAGGCTCCTCAATGAAACTACCTTCTATTCCCCTAGAAGCACCACGCCTTAGGTATTCCACTAATTCAGTGTACGTGGCTACTTTCTAGAACACACTTGCCACATATAGCAAGAATTGACTGCATCATCTTATTTAGATTCACAGAGACCTATGAAACTCGATCTCCACGTCACAGAATAAAAACGGACCTTGAAGAAATAAGAAAATTGCCCATCATCAATGAGCAGCCTGGATAGTCAAACATAACCCTTGTCCTGTTACTTCAAAGAAATAATTAAGAAAGAGCCAGGAGTGGTGGCTATTGCCCTGTAATCCCCGCACTTTGGGAGCCCAGAGGAGGGGATGCTTGAGGTCAAGGAGTTCGAGACCAACCTGGCCAAATCCCTGTCTCTACTAAATAATACAAAAATTAGCTGGGCGTGGTGGCGTGTCCTATAGTCCCGGCTACTTGAGAGGCTGAGGCAGGACAATCGCCTTGAACCCAGGGAGGTGGAGGTGCAGTGAGCCGAGATCACGCCACAGCACTCTAGCCTGGGCTATAGAGACGAGACTGTCAAAAAACAAAACAAAAACAAGCAAAAAAACAAACAAAAACGAAAAACTTAAGCATCACAAAGCTCATAGGTGTTAGGGAAACAAATGTCTCTGCCGATGTAAAAAAAAAAAAAAAA